TCAAACCTACTAGGTCAGACAGTTCGAAATGAGGTTGGGGGAAAGGGGGGGGGTGCATTTAACCTTTACCCAGTTGTGGGGCATTATGGTTGACTCTTTTCATTGATTTGATTGAGCAAACTGCTGAAAAAGTTGTCTATTGATCAGGCCTTTTGAGTGCATGGTCAAGTGTACTGTGGACCCAGTGACGCACTACGACTAAACAGTCTTTGTTAACCAACGGTTTTATCAGTGAGTTGTGGACAATGAATATGAGAGAATCCTACCGCCCTAGGACAACACAATGTATTAGTCTCGCCTCTCTTATTTTCCTTGTCCTCAACTCATCGACTAAACTGTAGGCTGACGTATCGTATTTCTACGTGTCGATGCTCATATGACCGTATACAGTTGCAAGTGTCGTAAAACCTCTACTAAAAAAATATCGAGTCGAATCATTTACTACTGCACTAAAGGTTTTTTGTAAATGTTTGACAAAATTTAGACCGTAATATAGATCGGTGGGTTTTGAGCTTACCTGTCAAGGCCAACATGACTGAGATGGATACAGAGTCCAAGCACTAGGGCAGATATGCTCGATACAGTAAAAGCTCCCACATATGAATCGAACTCACGACTTGTGCATGTAATGGCAAAGCGACCTACTGTTACAGAGCAGACGCCGGTACTGTGGATGTAACTGACGATCAACGGAGTCTATGGTGAAATTTGCCTCTCGCACAAGATGGGAGTTTCATCACGGAATGGGACAGACTAGTTCATCGAGTGTCTCTGTCTCATAGAACGCAGCATCCCAGGAATCTAGTGTAAGCAGCCAGCTTAGAAATGAACTAAAGTCTACATTAATTCAGTGCATTGTTGTACAAATTTCTGTGATCATCGTCATTGGTGTAAGTATGAAAAGAAAAACAAGACTATTAAGCGCTAAAACACTAATAGATTTAAGAGAACGTTTGCTTTTCATGGACTGATACCGATTCCCGCTTAAATAAAGTTAAGCAAATTCATGTTAAGTGCCTTTCAAAAATACACAACATCCGTCCCCTGACAGGAGACGAACCTATAACACTTCAGTTATGAGCCCGAAAGCCCAGCTACCAGACCACCGACACTACAATGTATGGATTAAATCATTTAAGTTGTAGCATCAGTGGTATTTTAATCCCTAGACCCTATCAAAGTACGCTGTCGTCTTAAAGTTACTTAGGAAGCTGGCTGCTTCGGCTCTGCCTGTGAGGACCACTCTGGCAAAATGAGATACAGCACCCCAGCTGACAGATAGAAGGTCTCACCGGACAAAATCTGATCTGTCTGTCTTTACCAGCTGCTCTTTGCCCAGCAGTTAAGACACAAATACTGACAATGTCGTTATCATCGTATGAGACCTCGTGCAGACATTTGGAACACTCTGTGACTCTGCACTGTAAAGACGACCCCATTTGGGAGCGGGAGAGAGGGTACCCTTCTTGTAACCCAACAGACCAGAGGAATATAGTACTAACATGATCTGAACAATTAACAACTAACCAGTTGTTGTAACCATTTCCAGTTGGTGCTATTGTTACAATTAGATGTGTAATGTTCGTGTAATAATGCTGTCTATTCTTAGGTAACGAAGAGGCCCGCGATATCGTGCGAATGTTGTACGACAGAGTGAGCCAGGACTCCAACCCCGACGATATGGCCCAGATCCGGGATATCTTGAGTAAGTGGTGGCTTGTTCTTCCTCCTTTACCGCTTTTAGAAAGGCTTAAAATAATGTTTGTGTGTGTGTATGTATGTGAGTGTTTATGTTTGTTTGTGTGTGTGTGTGTATGTGTGTGTCTGTATGTGTGTGTGTGTGTATTTGTGTATGCGTGTGTGTGTTCATAAGTGGGTACAGCTGGACTTATTATAGCACTTGCATTGTTGTTGATCGAGAGCGTTTTTGCTTTAAGGTCCGTTTAAAAACATATTTCTGGGTGGGTTATACTGAAAAAAAAATGATGGCTCAGAATTGTAAATTTTCAGTTTCTAGGGACTTTCCACTTTGGAAGTCGCCAAACTTTGGCAGCCATTTTGTGGACAATTTTGCTTCTGAAACCGGGCGACCCCACTCCCTAACCTGTGTAAATCACAAATATCTTGACTTGTATTTATGATATTTGAGTATTTGTTCCACCGAAAGCAAGACGAATGAACATGCTTTGAAATGATTTCAATAACTCCATTTAATGTCTTAAAACAAACAAGCGCCTAATTCAAAAGCGTAGTGACACAATAAAAGAAGTGTACTGTAGGTGTAAGAAATGCCATGGTAGAAGTGCTACTGCCCCATTAACACTATGTTTATCATTTAAAACAGAGGTCACCCGTTGACTTCTTTTGAATTGAGTCAGTTTACTAATGGAATTCTAAGCGAGGGCCATTTAACTGTTTTGGCCATAACCGTTGCATCAAATACAATGTAAAATGGAAGATTAGCCACATTGAAGTCGGACACGGATGTGATACATTAGCCGGAAATTATGAAACCTGTAAAAACTGTAGAGGTCAATGAAATAAGTAAATTATTTTGAAGAATCATTTTTCACAGCGTGCTACACATAAATAACCCAAAATTTGCTTCTCTGCATGCTTGAATGATCCCAGGTCAGATGAACGGTAAACGCAGGCGGTAGTTTTGGTCACCCATGATTTAGAACATTGGTTTGCGCATAAGTGACGTACAGCGTGTTGTTTTTTCTCTCTCACCAGTGGAAACAGTAGACGCGTCAGTACACGACACGCCCTTCAACTTTGACCCTGAAATCATGGGACTGGATGAGTTACCTCCCCAGCAAGAGGGGTACCAGGTACGGAGGGAGAGGGGAGGGGGAGGGGGGGTTGAAGTTGGAGGAAGGGAGGAGTACGGGATGCGAGGAAGTTGGAGGGGGGGGGATGGTATCGGAGCGGTTAGTGCGCTCGTCTCCGAAGAGGAAGGTCCAGATTCGGGCCTCGGTTCGGACACGGATTATTCTCGCCGTCCCCCCATGCTCACCCAAGCAGTAATGGGTGCCTGACTTCGACACTTCGAGTTGGGGAAGTAAAGGTGGCGTGGGAAGGAACTGACCACCCTACAACAATATGCCTAAGGCCCAGGAAGTTGTCATATTAACAAGGAAATCCCCAATGTCCGGATTGGATGCGGGAACAACTTTACTTTTTTTTAATGTCAAGGTAATATCGTGGTTTAGAAATAAAGTTCCCTAGCGCTAAATAAATAAATGTTAAAGATGTTTACAATATAGGTGTCTTTGAGTTCCCATTGATATAATTTAGATTACTTAGGAGGTAATCTCCACCCCTGCCTATCAGGGCTGACACATCAAAGAGACCGAGATACTCAACAAAAATACACCCCACACAGACATCAAACCCAGGTCTTCTACGTGCGACGGCCGCTACACCACAGAAACTGGAAATATGAAGATCTACTATGTGCACTCGTAAGTCTACCTAGTGTGTGTGACTGCTTTTTATACAGCTAAGCATTTCGGCAAAAAACAACGTTCATTCTGAACTTCCAACTACACACATCTGGGTGGTTATGACGTCATGCGCGAGGACATGAAAAGCTTTTAACTTATTTTCAGAACAAGAGGCCCAATCTCTACCTCGTGATCTTCCATTTTGTTCGTTTCTATGGGTAGTACATTTACAGCAGGAAGAGAAACAGCGTCTGTGGTATAGCAGTATAGCAGTATAGCACTAGAGCAGTCCGCCATTAGACGCAAAAGACGTATGGTCTATTCCCTTGTGGGGACATTGTTTTATAACCAGTATCAGGGTTTTTACTCCTAAGGTATTACATCTCTCTCAGCCTGATTTGGCACTGATGGCAGGGTTGAAGCCTGCCTCCTAAGTGGTATAAATTGTGTCTCCTTAGGGGGGGGGGATACGTTTAAATTACAGAAAGGTAAGAGAACAAAGAACAAATTCGCCTAATCTCTAGACGCCGTATTATTGGTAAGACCTGCTTTGACCACCAGGAAAATGACGGGTGGCTGTTCAACTGTTTTAAGCCGAAAAAGCAGATGTCTTTCAGGGGTCCCCAGCCTTTCAGAACAGCTCTTCAACTTCCAGAACAAGAAGACATTTTTATCTATTATCTCTTGCCTATATTAGAGCGGAGCGTGCCAATGGTTTGATTTCTCTGCTATCGAGTTAAGACCGACCATATTTCTTGGATGACAATGGTCAAGTAAGGTTGTAGCAGCTTTTGGTAAACGCAGATCTAAACTTTTTTTTTTTTACCCAAAGAATAGACAAAGTCCTTCAGGTGGTCTTTAAAAAATCCAATATTCTATTTATTGACTTGGTTGCTTGGAACACAAACTGAAACACCAAAATATTGTTTTATTAACATAAGTACTTATAAGACTATTATGTATTGCTCACGTGAAAGAAAAAACGTAAAGGCTCAAAACACTGATTTTATAGTATACAATCAAAAAGTCCTTCCAGTTTCTTTTATCTCCACAATTTCATATGCAAAAATATATGTATATAAACAAGACTGCACGACACTGCTACAGTTTCGTCTAACAGTTGGTTTTCCCAACTTGACAGATCCCCAGCCTCCCTGAAGAGCTCCTGAACACCCAGCTGGAAGACATCCCCACAGCTCAGAAAAAGAACGTCATCGTGGAGGAGGCAGACCAGCAAGAAGACGGAGAGGGGGAGGAAGAGGAGGTAGCAGAGAAGAATTCTCCTGCGCAGGAGGTTGAGGAGAGTGAGGCACAAGCAAGCGAGGACAACTCAGAGGAGAAGGAAGGAAAGACGGAAGTAAAAGAAGAAACGAATGTGGTCGGCGAGGCTAAGGAAGAAAAGGAAGCAAAGACTGAGATTCAGGGTAAGTTTCTCTCAGTGTATATTGTGTGTTTCTTTACTTTTTCTGTCTGTCTGTCTGTCTGTCTGTCTGTCTGTCTGTCTGTCTGTCTGTCTGTCTGCCAGCTGGTGTTTCCCTTGTTGTTATTATAGTTTCAACTATCATTGGCGTCTGTGGGGTAGCGGTTAGTGGACACTTCGAAGACCTGTGTTTCGTTCCCGGACCGGGAGAAATTCTTTACGTGTTTGGTGTCTCGGTTTCACGCCGGGGATTTCCGTCTCAGTCGAAGGTGACCCTGACAGGTAACCTAGAAGCCCGCCTTCTAAATAATCTATCTAAACTGTGTCGATGGGGCAAAACACCCATATATGATTTCAAAAATGTGTATATATCTGTTTTTTTGTTTGTACATCTGTCTGGGTGTATTTGTTGTTGCTTTGGTTTTTATTTATTTTTTAATTTCCTTTTCTCGGGAGGGCCAAGAGGTTTGGAAGGGGGGGGGGTTGATTCTTTCAGTTGTTAAGCCTATCTGTGTATGTTTGAATGATTCACAGTAATAAATGGTTGTGCTTTTCTCGGTTTTCCTCACATACAACGACTGCTTTGCGAGGTGGTGGCCATTGATGGTCCAACAGGGGCGCACCTCTCCCGCCAGTAGTCTTGTCTTCTTATGTCAACGCAGCGCTAGGGAGTACACTTCAGTTTGTTCTCAGTGCCTTACCAACTGAAGCTTATGCAATCATATTGCTAGTGTCTTCTATTGAAATATTAGTAAATTATTATTATCTTATAACATTTCGTCTTATCTTATCTTATCTTATTTTATATTTCATACATATTGCATCTCTTGCCTGTCTTTCACAGAGACAGAAAAACAGTAAATTTGTGAGGATTATCTCACAGTAAAGAATGCTAGTTCTGGATTGAGAGAAAGAAAGAGCGGATGATTGCAGGAGAAAAGAGACCAGCATTTGTCACCACCCGTCAGCTGGAACTGTGTCGTAATCACTGCCGACCCTACAATCATTGCCTCATCACGTGATCCCTTTATGTTGATAATGCTTGATGACGTCATTTTTATAAATACATAAATATTCTCCGCTTGTTTTCTTGATACATCATTGACGGGACTGGGAGGATTGGTTTATTTATCGTTATCATCACACGATTCGATTCAATCTGTTAAACAGAATGGGACGAGGGCGAACGTTGCTTAATGAACAATTGTCCTGCTTACTATTGCTATTACTTAACGCTGAATAAAACACGATTCCTCCCCACAAACATTGCAACAACTCATCACCTTTATAAGGATAACACAGAGAAACAGAATAACAGATTATTCATCATCATTATCATCATCATCATCATCATCATCATTATCATCATTGTAAATAACAAGGAATAAAACAGGGTTGAGACTTGTAGAATTTTCAAATGTTATACAGGTTCAACGTTTGGCCTGGAAAAGGGCTTCATCGGGAACATGATACAAAAAATAATGTAAGATCAAATGACTACAAGCTATAGCAACAAAAATGAGCGCATCATCATCATCATCATCATCATCATCATCATCATCATCATCATCATCATCATCATCATCGTCATCATCATCATCATCATCCTTGTCGTCGTAGTCTAAGGAGTAAAATGTTGCTTTCGTCATCGTGTGAACCCAACATAAAATAATATCATTCCTACCTTCATACTGTCGTCGTCGTTATTTCGACTGACCTGAATATGATGATTAAGGCTACTATTTCTTAACAAATCAAGCTGAAACTGGACAAGGGATTACGACAGGAGTGTAAGAGGGGAAATTACTTACTATCACTATGATGCCACCTTCTTCTGAATAAATAAATAAAATAATTAATTAATTAATTAATTAATTAATTAAATATTATATTTCGACATAGACGAAAACAAAATCAAACGATGCAGGCTTTTAAAAAAATGACGACGAAAACGATAACAACACGGACTATAACCTCATACACAAAGTTGCCGTTCACTCATTCATCTTCATATCTTCACCACACACCAGACGACCCTTCGTGAACTGAATATACTAGAAGTTACACTTACTGCCACAGCACTGGCTCAAAGGGTTAGGAACTCATTCTTGCCTGAATGCACACGGAATTTTTGCAACAAAACTCATTTCATTATATGGAACTGAACTGAAATTACATCCGGTTTCATATCCTAAAAGGATGGATTACCTTGCTTTAAAAAAAAGACAAGCGTTGAAAAATATATCGTTTTGAAATCGGTGTTAGAAGAAGAAGCTTTTATACTAAGGAAGAAAAAAACTGTGGTGTTTTTTGGAATCAATACCTCTTTTTTCCTATCTAGGAAAAGTTACTATTTTTGAGCCTTGAAAAAATAATTACTTCTGATATGAGAAAAGTTACTATTTCTGTTTCTAGAACAGCTGGATTGAGATGTAGTTTTGCCTTTCTCGGTTCATGAGTTTTAAAACCTAACAGTAGGACAAAATTCAATGAAACCGGAAGTGACATCATATCCACAAACAAAGCTGCAAAAAAGCTACAAAAGCCGGCTATGGTAAATCTAGCAGACAGTTTTATTTTAACGTCCTCACATTCGTAAAGTTATGTTAATAATCAGTTTTCTTTAAAAATTAATACTCTGTTGTTTCATTTCCCGGCTATAACTGTATGATTTTCTGTCTCATTTTATTTAAGATTAGGCGGATATTTGTTTTGAATTTACGTTTTATATTATTGTCTATCTATCTATCTATCTATCTATCTGTCTATCTATCTATCTATCTATCTATCTATCTATCTATCTATCTATCTATCTATCTATCTATCTATCTATCTACTTTCGGGGGGGGGGGGGGGATCAAATATATAAATTAATTTCACTTTTTTTTTCAGGGTTTCAGAATTTAAACAAACCTGACATTGCACGGTGAACAATCTCGCACTGAATATTGAAACACTTCCTCATATTATGGTGTATTCGTGTGACGTACCCGTTTCTTCACCTAGCAGTATCGATGTTGTGGAGGGTTTTTCACCCCAATTCCAGCCTAGTGTTGTGAGTGTGAACTCGATGTATCAGCAGAAATAATGGTTTTCTCTCCCTTTACCGTTTCAGTTTTAAGTCGTCTTTAAGTTTCTGTTCTTTTTGTGATTATTAAGATTATCGTAATAATCATTATCTTTATCATTGTTACTATAGTTATTATTATTGTTAAATGAAATACATTATTATGTTACAATATTCTTATTATTACTGGGGGTTTTTTTGTCATTATTGTTGCTGTTATTATTATAATTTATTTTAATTGTCCTATTATAGTTATATTGTTTTTGAAGTATGATCAATAACACTAGGTTGCTATACTTTTATTGTCAATATTATTATTTATATTGTTATTTTCAGTATTATAGTTGGGTAAAATCACTATCTCTTATCAATATTACCATTATTATTATTATCATTATCTTTATAATTTTATTATTCTTAAGTTTCAGTAAGGTGTTTCTATCTCGTATTTGTGATCTATACTCGTACGTGTGGCGTTAATTGATTCAAATTCTACTTCAATGACAGAACTGAGCTTTTGAATTTTGTTGAACGGATGCTGGGAGGAAAAAGGATATGTACCAGAACGTATCTTATTTCTTAAGCCACTGGATAAGACCGTCATTTACACATGAGAAGAGACTATTATCAAATCAATGAAAAAGCAGATGAACTGAAGAGGAAGTAATAAAGTTAAAACGGGTATGAAAAAAGAAAAAAGAAAACTACGCATATTATATAATGTTGTCATAAAATCATGTGATGAATTTAAACAGAAAATGCATTACAATACAAAATCTAAAATTGATTTAAAACTCTACGGTTATCAAATTACGTCATCTCACATTTAGTAATATGAAGCAGCGAATACGGAAAAATACACTACAATACTAGGGGTATGACAAAGGGAAATAAGTGCACATATCAAAATGACGTCATGTAAGAGTAGATAGAAACAAGCAATTGCTTTATCATAGGTGTGAACAAAGGTAGTAGAAGAAGAAGAAGAAGAAGAAGAAGAAGAAGAAGAAGAAGAAGAAGAAGAAGAAGAAGAAGAAGAAGAAGAAGAAGAAGAAAGAGAAGAAGAACAAGAACAAGAACAAGAACAAGAACAAGAACAAGAAGAAAGGCCAGATAGCTGATGCAAGTCTCTCTCTCTCCGCCATGGCGCTTCTGGTGCGTCCAGTGCGTGACCAGTGACTCGTGACCCTTGACCCGTGACCCTTGAACTCTTTCCTCGTGTTTGTTTAGTCCGAGTAGAGAAGTGGATATCGCCATGAAAACGGCCAATTAGTCCCGAGAATAAGCAAGATAGACAGAAAGAAACAAAGGAGGGAAAAGAAAAGAGGTTGGATGAAACAGTGGCGCCTTCCAACCAACAGTACTTTATTTTCTGATATCAACATATTTCAATAGGATTTCTACAATGATGTGGCAACATCGTGCAGGGTTTCCTGTGTGTTAGAAAAATATTTGTCGTAAAGCTATTTGTTTGAGGAAAAATAAAGCACACCGGCACCATAACGGTCACGTAGCACGAAGAAAGAGTGGGACAGACAGACAGACAGAACCTTCAGAGGAAAAAGGAAAAAGTACGACCTTCCGGGGCCCTCTCTGACCAAACGCCAGTGCAATACAACCTGCTAAGATTAAATGTGTCTGAAATTACTAACCTGGTTGACTGCACAAAGTCCAACTGTTGAACTGAAATTCTTGATTTAAAAAGTAAGTAAACATCACAGTGTGGAATGTGCTACAGCAGTAGCTGCATTATAAGCCAAGACCAAGAAGAAATATAGATCAAGACTGTTTACGCCACTCAGGTGTGACGTCACACTCCCCAGGGCCTGGAACTCGCACGGATGTCAAAAGAAATCCTTGACCACTACCGCTTGCATGAAAAACCTACAAAAATGAATCTAGGTCAAATCAATATTTTAATGATAATCTTTCATTAAAATGTTCTCATATATCTTTGTTTAGTTTCCAGGTTTATAGATTCAGAAAAAGGAAGACATGAATAAAAAAGGTACTGTTCTGTTTATTTTCTTTTGGAACTAATATAAGCAGAAAAACAAGTGTTGTGAAAATCCCATTTATTTAATCTTCTTTTTGAGATTGCCAAAAACACACACAAAAAAAGTGAATGTAATTAAGACCTCGTACTTTCCAGTGCGTTTTTAAAATTTTAAATTTATTTTTAATAGATAAGTTTAAATTAGTATACGAGGTTTTATAACATGAAATTCCAAAATAGACACGAGTTTACTTACAAATATTCATATATATATATACCGACATTAATTAATCAATACATTTAATGAAAAGACTTTTAAAATATATAAATAGTCAAAACAAAAAGACGAACAAACTAATAGGTGTAGCATAGGTGCGACTCTGTTTCTTTGTCTTCTGGCACAGTGTTCAGGGTATTTCAGAAGGTCATTTATACTTTTCTGCATTTTTCTATTTTTTATTTTGTTTAAAGAAACAGGAATCTTGTTGAAAAAGTTATCGAAAATAAATATAATTTTATCAAATAATGCAACAAACATCGTTTGGGTTTCTTCTTCCCAGCAGCTGGTGTATTCACGTGTTTGTTTGAGATTGTTGCATCTTGATAATATGTGAGGGTGTCTCTACATATACCTATGTGTTCGTGTCTTTCTAATTTTATATGTTTTTGTGTGCGTGTGGGTGGGTGGGGGTGTGGGTGGGGTGGGGTTGAGGAGTGTGGGTGGAGGGGTGGGAGTGTTGTGTTTGTGGGAAGAGAGAAAAAAAAGAGAGAGAAAAGGAACGTGGAGAGATGGAGAAACAAGAACAAAATGACGGATAGAAAAAGAGAAAAGTAGAACAACGAAATGCAAAAGCTAGACTGACAGAGAGATTGACGGACTGGCTGACTGACTGACTGACTGACTGGCTGACTGACTGACTGACTGACTGACTGACAGACTGACTCATTGGCTGACTGTATATTTTAAAAAGAAAAGCGCACAAATATGACCACCGCTCCTGGGTGCTGAAGTGAGAGTAAGACAGCCAGACAGGCGCCTGTGGTGCAGCAGTTGAGGGATACGCCGTGAAACACGGGCGACAAGAGCTCGATTCTTGGGTGGGGAGAATTTTATAGAGTGCGTGAATCAATTCTACTGGGCTGTTGTATCCCTGGCCCTCTCAGCACAGGACTGCTCGATCAAAATATTGATCATGATAATGATGATGATGATGATGATGATGATGATGATGATGATGATGATGATGATGATGGTGATGGTGATATTAAACAAATTTAAACATTTTATATTGTTATTTTATTTTTGTCTAAAATTAAAACAAGACTCTCCCTCCTACCCTGCTTACCAAAAAATGATGGTGATGGTGATGATGATTTTTATTTCCTTAATGGGCCTGGTGGACTCCACAAAGAAATCTTCGAGCTAGAGTGAGGCACTTTTCTGCCCCATTGTCAATATACTTAGAGACATCTTCACTAGTCCAAATAACTCCATTCCAATTTTCATTGTTCCTGGATATTCAAACACATGTTTGACCTGATAATGGTAATGATGATGATGATTATGATGATACACTAGTTTACATTAGTGAAACTTTAAAAAAGAAATATAAGAAAAACAACAAGAATCAATAAAACAAGCACAATATTAAGAACAGAAAAAGAAAGTCAAGAGATGAGACTGATAAAAATAGAGTCACAATAAACACATTGTTCATTACATAGAGGAAGAGAATAAAAACTTTTTCACGAAATCAATATAAGTTTAATTTCGTGGAAACATAAGTTGTATTTCCTATAACGGGATTACAGAAGTATTCCAAGAACCAACCAATTCTTAGTTGTTAACTGGACCACGTAGTGCCAGTAGTCAGGAGGGACAGACTGTTGCCACTCACGAGGGTTTGTGGCTCTCCGCCCCAGGTACGTGTCCGGATTGTGGGCACACCTCGCCGAGACATACCGGCGACAGCTGGAGGGGTGTTGTCGCGACATGGACGGTTTCGAATCTCTGAGAAAATTTGCCAAATTGTTTTAGATTCAAAGCCCCTTTCAACACTAGAAGGTTATTTAAATGGCGGGACCCAGGAAGTTAGCGTCCATCTCCGATCGGAAAGATCCGGACAGGTTAAGAACCTTAAAAACTCCCCAAACAAGCCAAATTCAGATCACCCCGCCAGACACTTTTCTTCTATCTCCAACCTTTGCTTCCAGAACACGCCTGGTATACACAAAGTAATTCAATTTCAGTTTCATTACGATCTAGGGGAGACTGACAATACGTACCTTTTTTTAATTAAGCGTGTAAAACTGCTCACCTGCACAGCCAGGGACTTGAAACTTTGACAACGTTTCCCATCACACCACCTGGCCATACGGTGCTGGTCAGGATGGAGGTCGAGATCTGGACATCCCTGGACAACACTCGACGCGGACCACCGGCCCACTGGGGGGATACTGAGACGGCCTGGGGGGTACAGGGGTTGATCTTTGTTATAGAAGTACATGTCATTACATATATACAAACAAACATAAATACATACATACATACACACACACACACACACA